AATCCAAGTCAGCGATGTATCGTACATTCGAAACTCAAACGCAAATTGTGACGGCAAGTAAAGTCTGAGGATTTGTAATTTGAGTTGAGCTGTTGTGTTCAGTTCACTGACAGTTGTTAATATTTTTTGAGTTTATTGACCATTAGATTGTTGGCCTTTGTATTATTTCCTTCGAAATCGTATAACTTACCTAAATATACGAAGTGGCCTCCAATATCTACATGAGGAATATGTTTGTTGTCGATGGACAGCATCGGATGAAACTGTTCATAAGCACCACTTCTTTTTCTCATGCCGAATGAGGAACATTTGTCTATCCTCATTGTCATTCCAGTAGCTTTGCACCATGCATTGTTTAAGTCGATTAACTTTTGAGCGCTTCCAGTGCTGTTAGCAATGATCGCCGTGTCGTCTGCGAATTGTAGCCACGCTCTTGTCTTTAATTTAGCCGTGGAACCCCAAATGTAGCCGCATTGTTGATATTCGGTTTTTTCAACTAATTTCATTAGGGGGTTAAAGCAGAGGTTGAAGAGCAGTGGAGACATGGGATCACCTTGAAGCACTCCTCGCTTGACTGGCATGTGCGGTGTTAGCTGGTCGCATCCGGATACTGTTATTGAGTAGTTCGTGTATATGCATTTAATTAAGTTGATTATATGAGGTGGAATATGATGGAAGTTCAGAGTTGATGAGATGAGATTGTGGTTGACCTCTCCAAACGCGTTTCGAAGGTCGAGTAGGGAAACAATTATAGTTCTTTGATGTTTCCCGGCATCGTTGAGAAGATGACTTAAGAGCTGATTATGCTCGGTCAAACCATCGATTTTTGGGTAGAACTCTTTTTGAATATTTGTGTTGATCAGACTATTTTTTTCTAAAAAATTATATATTTTATTGTTGATGAATGATGAAAATATTTTGTATAAAGTTGGTTGCAATGTTATGGGCCTGAAGTTTGAAGGGTCGTTGGCGTCCCCTTTTTTGTGGATGAGGACTGTGAAACCCTTTTTCCAGCAAGTGGGGATATTGCAAGATACCCAGCATTGAACCAACAGTTTGTGGAGAATTGTTCGTAGTATTGGGCATTTTTTAAATGGAATTATCGAAATCTGGTCGAAAGGGCATGGTGATCATTTTGATTTATATTTATGGATTATTGTTGAAATTTCGTGGTATGTAGGAGGGCTTGTGTTGCAGAGTGTTGGAGGCTTTTGTAATTTTGGAGCCCAGCTAGGTATTTGGTATTTTGTTTGATGAGGATTGTTGAGAATCGAAAGAAAATATTGATGGCAATCAGTGACACCAAACAGTGGTTTCAAATTTTCTGTTTGGTCGAATATTTTCTTACATGTCCCCCAAAAGCGCTGTTTTAGCTGAGACGTGACGTCGACTGATTGATCGCATTTTGTTAATTTTTTTGACTTTATTTGAGCTCTGAGCGCTTTGCTTGTTGTGATGATTTGGTCATCGAAGCGCTGATTGTTGTGGCCTAGTAGCTTTAGCTGTTTTAGTTCTTTTTTTAGATTTTTGATTGATTTGTTGGAGCTGGTATTATTGACTGTTTGTTGTTTAAGAGTGTGGCGTGTAGTTTGTGGCGAAATAGTTGTAAATCACTTGTTGGAAGGCGGACGTGAAGTTGTCGATATTGTCATAGCTTGGAAGTGATTGTTGTTGTAGTTGAAAGTAAACGTTGGCTTCGGACCATTGGGTCGACGTCTTGGGTAGTTTGGTACCCGGCAGAGTGGATTCGATTGTGTCACTGGCCGGCGTTGATGGAGAAATTGGTGTTGTGCGACTTGATTTGTGAGACGTTTGTTGTTCCGGAGGTGATGCTGTGTCGTCAACTTCGTTTGTTTGGTTATCCTTTAGTTGAATTTTTTTATGCATTTTGCATGAGCGCTGGTGCATAATTAACCCTTTCTTGCCTTTGCATCCTTTTCCGCAACAACATGTTATAATATTATTTTCTAAATTTATTGAATGCTTGTCCACAGAATTGCCATTATAAATATCAGATGAAATGTTTATGTTTGATTTAACATTTGAACGAACAACGTTGTTGTTTGAATTAGCAGTATTTTTAGTACACCTCCAGGAGTGTTTATTAACGTTAACGAATGTTTTGTCGCAATGTGGACATTTAGTTGAATTAACAGTATTGAATTAATTAAAATAATTAAAATAAAATATTTAAGGTCAATGAAATTTAATTTTAAATGTATCGCCATAATCCTCCAAATTTTTCAAGACAACAGAATCTATTTTAAAACTAATTTGAACGACATAAAATCAAAATTATGCTTAAAAATAGTGAGCTGAACGTAAACGTCCAACCCTCGTATTATTCGAGCAATAATAATAATAATAATAATAATAATAATAATAATAATAATAATAATAATAATAATAATAATAATAGTCGGTAACCGTCGTCGGTATCCCCCCATCTCGGAAGACGATGGTACAGCTAAAGTATGTAATCTGCACAGCTGCCCAATCCCGGTGTTGCAGAACTTGCCCAATCTTGGAAAGGAGAAGGCAGATGGCTATTACAGATGATATTGATAACAGCTAGCTAAATTTTTATCAATATATTAGCGTGTTTGAAAAATATATATGCGTGTGTGGTTGTACTGTTAAGAACAATAAGAGAATGAAATGAAAACCAGAAAATTTAAGAAAAACAACTAAATTCAGCTGCGATAAAACTGAAGAAAAAATTTATCCCAAAAAAAAACAAAAAGTCATAAAATTGAGATGCAGAGCTACAGTACAAAGATCCTACCTACGAGAAATATATTCGCTATGAACATGACCTGACTTTTGGCTGAGAGTTGTAAACAAACATGTTGTTTAATTGTATAATAACATAATAATAATAATATTGTTATTATGAGTGTTCGTTTGGCGCTTTTTCAAATCTTCTCAAAAAAGCCAATAACTAAAATCATAAATTGTCCAGAGAAAATAAATAAGCTATGAATTCTTTTCGAAACATCGCAAGGGGGAGACCCGGGGCACGTAAATGTTGTGTCAGACTATTCCAAATCATCGATCTAACAATGGCAACATTTCTTGATCCTATTTTCAATTTAGCGATAGGAACTTTTAACAGATCTAAACTAAACCATAGTATAATATGATATGGTGTATAATGATAACTCCTAAAACAAATTATATACACACACACTCACACACACTCACACTCACACACACACACACACACACACACACACACACACACACACACACACATATATATATATATATATATATATATATATATATATATATATATATATATATATATATGACGTTAATAAAACACACAGCGCGGGTGTTGAGTGTAAACAAGTATTCTCAAAACAACTCAAAAAATGAAACAGATGTCGATGGTTCAACAGACGGACCTGCTTTATTAATATTAACTTATTTTTTGTGTTTTATATTTTTTATTTAAAAGTTTAACAAATTTCCATGAAACTTGTTGTACAGAGTAGCATCTTAGCTAAATCACGGTTCTGGGTGAAAAGAAATGACTACTGCAGCATTCCAGCGGTCTTCGAAAAGCCTGTACGTGTGTGCACTATTTAATTATTATTATTATTAAATTATTTAATTATTAAATCTCAATTATTTATTTTTTATTTGACAAAGTAATACTTTTTCAGAAGAACTTAACAGAAACAGAGAATGTTGAAACTATTCAGCCCAAAGCAAAATTGAAACATGTCAAGCCATTTTCAGATTTTTTAACTGATTTACACCACAGGCAGCATACTTATCTCAGGATATCGTTAACTGAAAGATGCAATTTGCGATGTAAGTGTATGTTATATTAACGTTTTTAAATAGCTATTCATATTTTACATTTGATAATTAACAACTTTAATTTAAAAATGTTAAATATTCAACTTATTATCAATTGTTTAACTTAAACTTTAAGGTCAATATTGCATGCCAGAAAGTGGGGTGGACCTAACATCAAATGATAATTTACTAAAAACTGATGAAATGATGAAACTTGCAAAGTTATTTGTGAAGGAAGGTATCAAGAAGATTAGGTTAACTGGTGGCGAACCTCTCATAAGAAAGGATATTGTTGAAATTGTTGGTAAGTCATGACCTTAAAAAATGGGAATGAATAATAAATAAATTTATATTTTATATATATAATTGTGTTAATATGTAAAATTATATTTTACAGAACAGCTCAATTTTCTGAAACAGTATGGCTTAGAAAAGCTTAGTTTAACAACAAATGGGGTCCTGTTACATCGTTATTCTGAAAAGTTGAAAGAAGCTGGATTGGATAATTTAAACATTAGTTTAGATACTTTGATAAAATCCAAATTTGAGTTTATAACAAGAAGGAAAGGTTTTGAAAAAGTGATAAATAATATAGATCTTGCTATTAACACTGGTTTCAAATCCATAAAAGTGAGTTCAATTCAAAATTGTGAAATTAAATGTTAAAAGGTATAAATAATTGTTTCAAGATAAACTGTGTCCTGATGAAAAATTTCAATGATGATGAGTGCACAAATTTTGTTGAACTTACAAAAGACAAAGTAAAGTCTGAAAAATTGTTTTAAAATAGAAAATTTTCAACTATATCAATATCACATGAGTAAAAGATTGATGAAGTAATGAATGAATAAGTAAATAAAAATTGCTATCTCAATTCAAACCAACTGAAAATATAATGAATTAAGTATTTTTCATCATCTCTCAGCCTCTAGATGTTAGGTTCATTGAATATATGCCTTTTGATGGGAACAAGTGGAATGCAGCTAAGTTTATATCCTACCGAGATTTATTTGAAATAATAAAGTCTGCATATCCTAATATAAAACCACTAGAAAACGAATTTCACAGCACTTCAAAAGTTAGTCTCATGGATTAAAGTTCAAGATAGATGGTGTGTGTTTTAATTTAGATACACTTGTTATTTATTTGCATTTTTATGGCAATAAAAACACATTTAATGACCACGTTGCAATAATCTTGAATTAACTAACATGGCAGTCATGGAAAGTTGATGGGTATGTTGGACGGATTGGCTTCATTACCTCCATGTCAGATCATTTCTGTGGAGGTTGCAATAGATTAAGATTGACGGCAGATGGCAATCTGAAAGTAATTTCTATAAGCATTATTTTTATTCGTTAAATGTTCTCAATGCCAGTTAACTCAAATAGCTTATAACTTCAAGTAATATTCAACCTCATTATTGCTTTCTGCATGTGTTATGATATAAATATCTGTAGACGTTTCCTTTCATATTTGTACTACCACACAATGAAGGTGTGTTTGTTTGGAAATTCTGAAGTCTCATTGAAAGATGCTTTGAGGCTTAACTATTCAGATGAAGATCTCTTGCAAATCATTGGTCATGCTGTTAAAAGAAAAAAAGCCAAACATGCTGGTCATTAAAATTAATGTATATTTTCAAGTACACATTTTTTTATCTGTACCTTTACTGTGCAAATCTATCAAATTTTAATTCTTCTTTAACAAGAATTTAATTCGCAATTAAAATGTTATGTGATATATCGTCTGAAAAGTAAGGTATAGAAGATATAGAAATATTTATTAGTGGTGATAGTTTGAATAAAACTTGTTAACATTGCAATATTTTGTAGGTCTGGACTCATTAACAAAACTTAAGAACAGACCAATGATTCTCATCGGTGGGTAAGTTCACTATAATACTTCCATTATGCCTCAATGATTCCATTTATTTATTTTCGCGATCAGATAATTACCTCCTGCAGCCAAGAAATTGTTGTCCTACAAATATTTTGACAAGAACCGTACAAGAACCATTTTTTGATATTAATTCATATGATGCATTATTTTTGGACAGAAATGTTACATTCCCTACTAATCAGTTTCGCAGGTATTTTCATAGTTCACACAATCGATTCGACAAACGTGACGACAACTCACAAGCAGGTAGCCAACTCACTCACGTGAACGTCTCCGGCAAAATTAAAATGGTCGACATCGCTGGCAAATCAGTAACTCACAGGAAAGCTCAAGCTTATTGCAGGGTAAGGTTGCCGTTGCACGTTTATGAAGCCGTTAAAATTAACAAAATTAAAAAAGGGGACGTGCTGACAACCGCCAAATTAGCGGCCATTATGGCTGCGAAAAAAACCGCCGATCTCATACCTTTGTGTCATCATTTAGCGCTGAACACAGTGAACGTTGTTATGACATTGAATGATGCAGAAAGCTGCGTTGAGATATCAGCTGAAGCATCTTGTGATGGTAAGACAGGGGTGGAAATGGAAGCGCTAGTTGGTGTTAGTGTGGCCGGTTTGACCATCTACGACATGTGCAAAGCGATGTCTCACAATATCGAAATCCAAGAAATTAAATTAATTTCCAAGTCCGGTGGTAAAAGTGATTACGACATACTCCGAAAATAATCAAAATTTTTGTTTTCATTTGTGATCTTTTCATTTGTCTTCATGCTTGTTTATTATTAATACTGCAATTGATTCACTCGTCAATAAACAAATTTGTAATTTTATTTAGCAACAGTAACTATCAAGCTTCATATCATTTGTGTGCGTGTCATCAGTGCCTTCTCTGCTACCACTTGTGCATAAATATTTCTCAGTGTATGAGTTAAATTATTTTCTAGCGTTTGTTTCATGATTCAACTGTTCAAAAATTGTATTACTTATTTTATATTTTAAATGATCTTCGTACGGATAGTAAAATTATAAGGCTTACTTGATGTAGGTGTCTGCGCACATTATGCAAATTCATAAGTACCTGTATATATCCTATGCATACGTACATAGATGTGCGTGTGTGTTTGTGTGGGCTAATGTGGATACAAATGAACGAATGAAATGAAAAATATTGAGACCATTGTTCTTTTTATTGAACCTGCGGTTTAAAAAACATTAGGCCGTGAGACTAGGTAACATGACGTACGTTTGGATCATAATAAAATAAAACTTCAATCTTTTGACTCTAGATCTTTACAATCTTCCAACTGGTTTTAGTTCAAACTAAGTTGATAATGAAGAATTAACCGCAATGATATTGCTACTTTTATCAGAAACTTGTAGGCCTACGGATCTATTTTTGTGCGAGTTTAGAATTGATAATTGATGAGAATGAGAAAACAACTCGGGCATGTGTGTATCTTACAATTTATTTTACTAATATAAGCAGAAGTATCTATGACAAAAGACTGCAAGGATGAACTGAGTAAAATACAACCACGTACAATGAGTAAAATGATTTTTTCATCAATAGAATAGATCTATTCATTAAAATATCCATTCTAGCAATGCCAACACAATGAGCACTGTTCATTCAATAATAGGAAGGAACTGTGAAGATAATACAATTTGTTCACCACACACCGCCACTCAGTTGAACTGGAGTAAATAACCAAGTAAATAAAGCACATGAGCAATTTAAAATAAAGTCACATTTTATAAATATGTTAATACTACATAAATTACAATGGGGCATTATATCATGTAAATGAACAAAATATCGTGAATAGAGCATAAAAGTACATGCATGTTTGGAATTTTCATGAGAATGACAAAATTCATACACACACATACACATATATGTGGAGTAATATATATTAAATTAAAATTATAAGGTATAATTAAGATATACCCGTATATAAACTTGGGTGTGTATGTATGTTGAGTTACACAAAAAATGTTAGTAATACAAAAAATATTTGAAAACCGAATACAATAAAGATGTAAAATTTTATTTAGCAATTTTTTAAACGAATTTAAGCATAAATAAATCTGTGAAGAACAAGACTTCAAAAGAGCATAACAATTTTCAACTGTAAAATTTCTAAAAAAAAAGATTTCTGGTTACAATGGCAATATGACCGCTAAGGTAATCGAATATTCGTCATCACATAGAAGAAAGGTTACCATACATCTTGCATGCATGTGCCCAATCAAAAAAAAATATATAATTCATCTTAACTAGATCTCAATTGCATGCGTTTATTAATATATTATAAATATGAATTATGTTATTAAAAAATGAATTATTTACAAAAGTAAATGTAATGGCAGAAAATGTGCTACTACCAACGCCATAATAATGACAACATTGCTTTGCTATGTACAGTACAATATTTTCAATTCACTTCTTCATAATTTGCACGATTTGGACGAGGTCTGTTTCCTCAGTGAATTCGGCCTGCAAAGTAATGAATTACAAATAAGTTTTGTTATCAGCTCATTTGTGATTACTGCTGAAATTACTGCTCTAGAATTATCATAATCATTATTAACGAATAATATTTTGATAATTGATGTCACTACTATATTTTTAACTTTTATAATATCTACAGCTACTACAATTACTAATGACTAATTCAATGAGAACATAAAATAATAAATAGATAAAAATATGGAAAAACACGACAAATGAAGGTTAATAAAAACGAAAAGTGAATGAAATAAAGGAGTGAAAGACAAGAAACCTGAATTGAAAGATACTTCTCACTGATTCCTTGATGGACTTGCGTTTTATTGATTCTTTAGAAAGAATTGATGTGTTCGTTTCTTGATAGTTGGATGCAAATAATGTTGCTGATGCAGCTTGTTGCAATAGTTGCTGAGGCTGTTGTTCACTTTCCCGCTGTTGCAACGTTGAATTTTCCTTTTCAAATGATGGTTTGAACTTTTTTAAAATTCTCCCACCAATAGACGAATTTTTCCTCACTATAGCTCCACTCTCCGGCTTTGCTGTGGAATTAGCTGAAAGTTCAAAAGTTTTTTGACATTCTCCCTTTCTCTCACGACACAATTCAACTTCTCTTACATCACCATCAACGTCATCTAAATTTGCTACAACAACTTCATCAAACTTTTCATTGGAATTCTCATCTTTAATTCCAGTGAAGCCGCTGATATTGTGTGAAGCAACTAGCGGGCCAGTTTTGTTGCTTTTTTTCTTACGTCGTGCAGCCAATGATGTAATCTTATTTTCAAACTTTGAAAAAGTTGTTGAAAACCTGATAGAGTTGTTGGCTGAGGTAGAATTATTGAATGTGTCGGTCCTAGAAACAGCTGTAACTGCTGGCATTTCGTCACAGCTGGCAACATTTAGTGATGCATGGTCAGACTTTTCACAGATTCTAGAAACAGTGCACTGTTCAATGTTTTGCTGACTGTTATCTGTCTGTGACTCGTGAAGAATTTGATGTAGGTCCTGAGCATGTTGTTGTTGCTTTTTTTGACGATTCTGCTGTTGATGACATGGTTGCTGATGTTGTTTTTGACATTGATGTAGCTGATGATGTTGTTGACACGGCTGCCGTTGGGGTATTTGCCGATGCAGATAATGTTGCAGGTGGCGCTGTTGTTGCAAATATTCATCAGTTGAACATAATGACCTTCTCTTCAACTGATCCTCGTCGTCTGATGAAAAACGGATGATATTCTGAAACAGTTCAATGGTCTGAGTTGAAGGTTCGACTACACCACAATCTGGTGCCTCGGTCTCCAGCTCCGACCTTACAAGAGTTCCATTTAAGACATCCTCATCAACCAGACCCATGTTGTCATATGCTTTACTTTCTCTCTTTGAATGTTTGTTCAGCTTCATCTTGCTTCTCAATGGCGTTGATTTCTGGCTGTTTGAAGATGACGGAAGAGTGTTATGCTGTGGCTGCTCATACTGCAAGTTGTTCCTGGATGAATTAAATCATAAATTTATTGAAAATATCTAACATGTAAGAATGAAAAGTGCAAAATAGGTCAACATCGGTATACTTTCTACATATTTTATGTGATCTTTGAAAACGTTTTTGAAAAGATAAAATTTGAAAAACTGCAAACTTACTTAAGCAAATTTATTATTATATTAAAACCTACAGCATTAAAAAACAGCATTAACAACAATACAAAAGTGAACCTTTGATGACCAGTAGATAACTGTCTGAACATTTTCTCACCATTCTGTTGTTGAGCATTGCTTTTCAAAGAAATCCCAAATTTTTTTTTTGGCTTCATCGAGGATTTGATGGAAACCAACTTCAGGGATTGCTCAATAGAACCGTTCAAACAATTTAAAAAATTAGCCAAATCTGTCAGGCAAGTGTTAATCAATGTCCATTCTTCAGATCTTTGGTCGGTGTATTTTAGCAATTGCTGGTAGTTGTTTTTGATGTACATGTTTGTGAGTGTGCGTGCGTGCGTGTGAACTAATGAATTTGAAATGATCAAAATGTTACTAAAACTGTCATCGCAACAGCTGAATTATCCCAACCTAGTACTAAACCCATTACCATAACAACGTTAATACGGTCTAATGCAACATGAGCAACCAAAAACAATGGAGAGATGCACAACTAAATAAGTGTTGAAAATTCATTTTAGAAATGAATCAAAACAACATAACAGCCTCAACGACAGCACTGCACCCAAAAACAGACACACAATGTTTACTAGGTGAACATAAGAATGGATGCATCTGCAGAGCAGCTCCTCTAACCTTAAACAGCAAAACATATCTAGGAATCCTTTGAACAGGTGTCAGTAAGAAAGCATTCAAGTCCAGTCTATCACAGCAAGCATCACCTTGTAACACCTTCACAGTTAATGAATGAAATTAATTTCTATGAACTTTCAACATATTACAAAAACAACATTTATCAACATAACAGTACTGAAAAAAATACAAGTCACCATACAAAGATACATAAGTTTTCATATTTACGAGCCAAAATTTAAAATAAAAAATTAACAAGAACTAATAAATAATAACATATAAACAAAAAAAACAATGAATAGAACCTTGAACAACGTGGCAACGTCATCATTTTCCTTGATTACCTTCCTGATTTTCAACAATGATGCAGAGAAGCCAGTAACATAGGCTTGATACTGCCTCAATAGTGGACACTGTTCAGATATATACATATACAACGTTAAACAATTTTTTTATAACAAACACACACATCCACTCACACACACACACCTTCAAACACACACAATAAAAAATTTATCACACCAAATTAAAAAACATTATAACATGACAGGAAAAAAAAAGATTACATCAGATGATTTGAAGAACTCTCTGAAGATATCTATGACCCCGCTGTTGTTGGTGGTAGTGTCATGTGGATTCCAGTTGATCAGCTGGATGTCCAACTGGTGCAAAAACTGGCAGTGGTCCTTGTAGATCTCTTCGAGACATGGAGAAAACATGAGGCTTGGTGAGGGTAAAATTTACGATTAGGCAACAGCTAGAAATATAGGAAAATGATATACCATTCAAATTATCATCATTGATTGCATGTCACTCTATTTCAGTATCAAATCAATCAACCAAACAAACAACCAATAGTAAGTCCATTTCGGCAAGAAACATACACATGACTCATTCCAACTTTAACTAGCAAATAAACTAACAAACCAAACCAACACTGGTACCTAACTAATTACCTTCCTAACCTCAAGCAAACAAATCAACAAACACTCTGACCGACCTACCTGACGACATCGCCGGATACCAGTCGAGATCTCCTGAGTGATCCTGCAAAGTGGTCCAACAGGATCCACAAACTCGAACAGTACTTCTTCTCTGTTTCATATATCTCCATCACCGCCTGTGTCTTCTTTACTATTAGGAAAGAACGTGTGAAGAGGAGGAAGAGGATGAAAATGAAAATAGATATTAATATAAATAAATATAAGATAAGGAAGGAAGAAGTAAAAGAGAAAAAAGCGTTAACAAAGTAATTTGATAACATAAAAACCACTCATATTGATGTTAAAAATGAAGATGATCAATGATACTTATGTATTACATGAATGTTTACATCAATGTAATTACATCAATGTTTGTGTCATTTATTTGTGTTCATATGAAAAAATATACTTTGGGTGGAACTAGATGTTGCTGATGAAGGAGATTTTGTTGTTGTTGAAGTTAACGTTGCTGATGTTGCGGTTGTTGTTGTAGGCTGTTTCTGTCTTGGAATGCTGGCACTGGACAATGTTCCTGCTGCACGATGCAAAGAAATGTTCCAAACATGCACATCAAATAATGCAACGATATAAATTATTAATAATTACAGAGAATTTTAATTTAAATAAGAATACATAACCACATACATTTATTTATTTATTCAATATACAAATGAAATAAACTAACTATCAGATGAACTGGCTGTGTCTTGCTGAAACTATATTAGAGGCAGAGAGTTTACAAAAATATAGCTGACTTTAAATGAATTCAATAATAATTGTCATTATATAGCAAACAGCAACAAATAAAGAAATCAAATTAATGTCAAAAAAGTTTAAATGTCTTGCTGAAACTATATTAGAGGCAGAGAGTTTACAAAAATATAGCTGACTTTAAATGAATTCAATAATAATTGTCATTATATAGCAAACAGCAACAAATAAAGAAATCAAATTAATGTCAAAAAAGTTTAAATGTTGATAATAAAAATAAGAAAAGATAAGATAAAATAAAAACCTTAGTACTAAAACTGTTGGAAATGATTTCATCAGCAACATCAGTATCATCGATCCATAGGTAATCATTGCACGTTAGGTCAGCCAGTCTGTTGCACTGGTCAGTTAGGGATCGACTCAGATCCAAACTTTTGTTAGCCACCATTGTCAAAGGGGACTCAGCATCATCACAGTCTGCAACATTCAAAGATGCTACAAAAAGATATCCTATTTATTTTATTATTATTTATTTTTCAACAACATTCAAAATACCTAGACTTGATAGACATGGTATACTTAAAAAACTTAAATACTCTAATGTATAAAACCACACTAGGCATACTGTAATTTTCAATATAATTATTTTAATTAATTATAAAATATTTATTTTAATTTAATTATAAATTATAAGTTAAAAAACAAACTATTACAAAAAAACAGAACCAAACACATTTTAATTTAGAGAATTAAGTAACTTTTAAACAATAAAATGAATATAAAAAAATTATAAAAACACCACTTAGAATTAAATTGATAAAATAAATTAATAAAGTTCAATTAATTAAAATTTTTTTTATAAATTATTAATTACAATTTATTAATAATAGTTAAAGACAGTGATTACATTACATTACATTTACAATTACACATTACATTACATTACAGATTACATCCAAAATTCTAAATTATTACCACTTTCTGTTCCAGCACTAAGAAATTAATAATTAATTTAATGACCAGTCTCGCTTAATCTAATTAAATCAACAATCCCCACAGTTTCACTTTCCCTAACTAGTGCACTAACCATCGTCATCTTCATCACCTACGTCATGGTCGTTGGTGATCGTCGTGTCGTCTGGCTCCGGAGAGTAATGTTTTTCCCGAGTGTTCATGATTTTTCGCGTTAAAAATGTCTTACATAACAAATGAAATATTTTCAAAATTAACTTTTCTAATAATAGTTGTAAAATGTTACATTTTTTAAAGAAATAACTAAAATAAAAATTATTTATTTATTTTTTAATTTTGTTTTTTTTAAATAATGCGCCTAAAGATACTATATAAATATATTTTTTTATATAAACTAAAATTGTGCAAAAGTTACTCATTTGATTTGTAAACGTTTAAAAACATTTTATTATTACCTCATCTTTCGTTCTGGTATATATATATATATATATATATATATTATTAGATTATTTATATATATATATATATATTATTGGATTATTTATATATAAAGCGCCCTTTATTATTCTCAAAGGCGCTAACAATGCAAAAGTTGATTAAATGTTTCACTTCAATCAAATCATATCATGAAAAGTTTGTCTGAAAAGATGGTTCTTTAGCTTTCTTCGAAATTCAGTAATTGACAACCCACGATCTCACAAGTCAACCGGCAAATTGTTCCAAATCTTCGGTCCCATAACAGCGAAATCTCTGCAACCAACAGCAAGCTGAGTTTGACGAATTGTTATTTATGGCTGAAACAATATGAGTTTCACTGTCTTTACTCTTCTATCGTTATATTTCTATTTAATCTCCAACGTAACTTTTCCTACATTTTCCATTATAATGTAATCGAAAAATTCTGGAAATATGTCAAAAGAATGAATGCCAACAAAGAGATATGTCTTATTGTAATGTATATGAATAAGTAAATTTTGCAGAATTTTGCTTTTAAAAATGCAAAAGATGTTAATAGGGTAAACTGAGGAAGAATACTCTGAAAACATAATGACATGGGAAACCCTTCTGATAATAAAAAATGGTATAATTTCATTAAATCGATATTACACTTGGTTTTTCCGACAAATCATTGTTTTATCAGTTTACTCGTACTGTGTTCTATATATCTACGAATGACAGTCTCGTAAGTAATGCAAGTTTTGTAGGGAAAAACGACAGGTTCCAACCTTTCTTTTATATGTTACGTAGCAAATAAGCAACATAACAACGAAGTTGACAAGTTTAATTTAACTTTTTCACACCAAACCATCTACTATTTTCATTTTTTAGGAGAGGCAATAACTAAAATTTCCGCTATATTTTCCATGCATGATTTTCATGACTTCTATGGAAACTGATGCAAGGATTTGATTATATCATGTAAAATTACATAAAAAATAGATAGGCTGCATATAATTTTTGATGTGGATTAATAAATGTGAAAATTTGCATTTGAAAATGCGTGCTACAAATGTAGAATAAATCATAAAACATTTTTATTACCACAATATTTATACCAAACCAACCAGGAAGTTAGTGTTCTACTATGTTCAGTTGCTTAATAGTTTTAATTTAGAAACATAAAAAATTGATTAAATTATAAAAATATTTTTCGTTTGTTTGATTTTTTAAAAAAACTTCGCAGAATTATAATCACTCGAGCTCGCTGACTGTAATATGCACTGAGCAGTGAGCAAGGTGCATTTCCCCAGCACATTTGGAGAGACGACCATTTCCCGAGCCCCCAACCTTTAGAGGGACCAGCACTAACAAAAATAGGCACCACACTAGCGTAGCACAAATGATACTGCAAATTTTGAGTCTTTTGCAGGCAATTTCAAAAAAGCAATTCCTGAACCCCTCAGCCATATCCTTTTTTGGAGACCAACACTAACGAAAATTACTACGGCACTAAAAAGCACTAAAGTAGCGCTAACGATACTGTGCATTTTAAATCTCTTGGGGGCTAGAATGTCCTGAGCCTCCCCCCCTAACTGTACTCCATACAGGGAACCAGCACTAAACAAAATAAATACGGCACTAACGGAGCACAACCTCCACACCTAATTTCAGTCCCATTTTTCAAGTTGGAGGGCTGGGGAAATGCACCTCAGTGAGCACCTACCCAGATTAGCACCTTCTTACATTCCTTTCCTCAAACATAGTCTGCAATTTTTAAAAAACATTTTGCATGATGATTTTTTTTTGTTCGGATAAATATTTAGTTGAAGTTTTAAAGAAAAATATAATAGAAATTTTTGAAAGTTTCTACAAAAAATTTATTATTCCAACAATCGATACAAATTTATATATTTGAACAGTAATTAATTGTGAAGGAGTAGTTACGCACAAAACAATTAATTAAATAAATTGGCAAATTATGAATCAGTTTAAAAAATATGGAATACAAATTGTGATGGCGATTTAGTAGTTAATAATTTCATCACCATATTGAACAAACATGTCATCAGAGAATCACAGATAATTTGATTTATGTATTAAAAAAAGTCACATAATAATAAATATTTTGATGAAACTATTAAAAATATCCAGACAAAGATAAAAAAAGAAGGTACAAAATAATGAAACGCAATAAATACTGATATGATGTGATGGTTGGCACAGGTGAACACTGCACAAATCTGAATCTTGTCGTACACGCAAGTTTAACTGAGTCTTAGCTTCAAGCCAGGCATATTTGCATGCATTTTAAATTAAATGATCAAAATGACGTTTGAATTTTGAATCATTTTTAGTAGGTATATAAACACTGGATAAGAACCTTTAGCTGGCTTATGAGTAACTGAATTAATTTTATTCAGTTTATTTATCAAATTTTGACATTTCAAGAAAATGCGTCTGAATTTTTAAAACTGAATAATGTCTATAAAAGTATATCTATGATCAATAAGAATAAAGTAATAATAAATATATGTTAGCTAAATAAAATAATAATGAATATTTTTATCACCGTTTGATATAAATGAAATTTGATTACATTTAAGTGGCAATGGTGATATATTGTGAAAATAAATTCACCTTATCAGTATTGTTAACAGCTTAGGCATGCATGATTATTTCTTTCTATCAGTTCACGTGTGTTCACAACATTTTGAATTTACTATAATTCTGTTAGAGCCATAGAATTTTTTGACATTGGATACAACAATTATAATTGAACGAATAATTTACAAATTTAAAGGTGAATGGAAAGCATTTTGATGAATTAATCAATCACAGAAATTATCAGTACAGCGGAATCAGTTTTTATAAATAGTTGCGAATTTTTATATAAATTTGTGTGGCAATAAGTTGCAGTCGTTATTCACTTTCACTATTTCTTTCGTTTACTCTTTTACTTCTATTGCTCTCTTTTTTATTCTCTTTCTCTTATTTTCTCTCCCTCTCTCTCTCTACCTCTTTCTCTTTCTACTCTTTTTTCTTCTATTTTTTAATATTTTCATTTTCTTCATAACTTCATGATCTATTCACCCATAAACGTCTTTCACTCATAACTACCGACAAAGCCGATATCCATCGCTGTATCGCTGCCTTCCTACTTCATCACATTTTCTGGAACATTTCATACCTGCATAACAAAAATATGTAAGTCAGGAAATATTTTTTTAAATTGAAAAAAAATCATAAAATGCGTCAGTATAACAAACATTGGTCTCAATAGCCGGATTGTTAAACCACAGCCAATAAATTTATTTTGTCGACATTCATTTCAAAATTTTGAATATAAGGCAATGCCCGTTTTTGGGTAACAAATCACCTAACATATCAAAGTTACACCTTCACTGATTGGTTAATCAGTCAAAGTTGTAAACCATTCTATTAATTTTAATCATCTAATTAACTAATCAATCAACCATTCAAACAACCGTCCAACCAATCATCCAACCAACCATCCAACCTATCATCCAACTATCCAAACAATCATCAAACCGATCATTCAATCAACCAACCAACCATCTAATCATTCATCCAATCAATTATTTAATCAATCATCCGACTAATCGAACAACTATTCAATCAATCAACCAACCATCCAACCAATTCACCAACCTGGCTTGAATGCTGAGTTGTTGTGCAACAGCGTGCTTCTTCTTGGCCATCCTCTTCCTGGCCTCTTCAGCTGTTGCTGCAAATTCAACACCACCAATGATAAGCGTGGGAGAGGCTGGTGATTGGTTGACTCCAGGCTTGGAAACAGGAATTGACTTGACGTCCAATATCAACTCAGATGGTCGTCCCGTTTTTGCTGCAGACGACGACGTATTGCTTTCCTGTTTTGTGTTTGATTGGTTGAATGTTTAAATAGTTGTTGGATTTGGTTGATTCGTTGTTGATGTGGTTAATTGGTTGGTTGTTTAATTGGTTTTGGTAATTTAGCCACATATAATGACTGCCGCTCAAATGCTTGGATGATTGTAAGGGCTAGCCATTGTTGTGAAGTTCAAAAAAAACTTTTAAAGTTTATAAAAGTTCAATAAAGTTTAAACAAAAAAAGTTAAAGTAATGTTCGAAATACGACTATAATGCTAGTCGTAGATTTGTACGAGTCAGTGATAATTTAAGTCAGTAATCAACTCTTTAATATGAACTCAATTCAACTCTATTAATCAGAGCTGGGCCAGCGTTGAGAGTAGAATGTTGTAACTTGCCATCTAGCCCAGCACGCTGCTGACACTGCTGCTACTGACGCTGCTGCCTGCTGCAAATTTTTTAGTTTGAACTCATAAACAATCTTGCTTGCATTTTTGCAGTGACCATTGAAACATGAACTTTATGAACTGTAAGGCCTCGAGAATAAAGTTTAAAAAGTTCAAGACAATAATAAAGTTAAAAAAAAATTGAATGTCAGAACTATGGAGCCAGTTAGTTCAGTTCTCAATTCAAGGAATTATTCGAAAGTCGAGTACATATGCATCTGCAAATGACACTCCAGACAGACAGACAGACAAACAGACAGACACATACCTTTCATTGCAAAAATTTGTGCAACTTCAATAATTTGAAACATGCTAAGTATTAAAAGAAAATGAAAAACATTTAGACAGCCAGAATAATTTATTAGGGACAAATTTATTAACGAACATGTAGAAATATAAAATTAAAATAAAAAACAGAAATTAGGTAAGTAAATGTGTTAAAATTTGAGGAAGAGAGAGTGTAACAAAAAAATTTTAAAAAGAAGGAAAGGAAAAGAAAAAGTGGAATTTTATAAATTATATAACTTAGTATGAAAGATCGATAAAGATTCACTAACACAGCACGAAATGTAAACACACGTTGATTAGATATATGCGTATATAAGTATATATATATATATATATATATATATATATATATCTGTGTGTGTGTGTGTGTGTGTGTGTGTGTGTGTTGGTGATAGACCATAATTTTTACAATATTCTATAAATTCTACCGAATGTTTAAAACGAACTACAAACATATTAACGCCAAACATTTATATTTATAGAATTTATAGAATATTGTAAATATAAATATATATATATATATATATTATATATATATATATTATATATATATATATATATATATATATATATATATATCCCCATTCATACGTATATGGCAAAATATTTAAGTACACATCAACGATTTAAACAGGAAAGCATGATTGTTGAGATCAATAATTTGCGCATTTTTGCAATTTTTGGAAAAATTTCTTCGGTCTGAAAGTACGTGTCTATGTTTGTTTGTATGTATGAATGCATGTGTACTTGTGTTTTTAAGTTTGTTTGTTTGAATGTATGTGTGTGTATGTCTTCAAGTTTGTTTGTTTGTTTATGTGAGATGTTACAATTAAGATATACGACTAAGTGAACATATTCTGATTGTACAATTATTTTTGCAAAATAAAAAACTAATGTACATCTGAATGGGATTATGAAGAATTTAATGCAATGAAGGATGGATAATTTGATAGGTCGTTAGTGGATGATCAGATGAATAGATTGATAGATTTTAAAAGATGAATGAACAGATGAATGAATTATTATCAATGGATTGACAAATGGTTGGCTTGAAAAAGAAAACAAATACATGAAAGAATGGGTAATGGATGGATGGTTCAACGGACGAAAATATTTTATTCAAAATAAACAGATAGATAATGCTATCTAACGGCAGATTTCCGGAAACCAAAGAAGACAAAAAAAAGTCTAGTGTATGTAGGCAACCGTAATCACTGTGTACACATCAGTATCAAAATCAATAAATTCACTTTAACTAAAAAATCAGTTTTAAACAGAAATTTTGAGAAAACAAAAGCAAACCCACAGACAATAACACAAGAAACCCAAAACATTAAACTAAATTCAAGTTAGATCGTCAAACAATGTAATTAAAACAATATCATGTATCCTTACTTATTTAAGGTAAATCGTTTTAAAGCTCTTTTAAATGATATCAGACAAGTGATCATTTTGATAAAAATTGCCAACGTTACATATCAGTCATACATATTCATAAGAATTCGTTTCGTAAGTTCTGCAATTGCTTGTTCAATTAGATGGAAATTTCTAAAACCATACTGACTGCAGGATTAGATGTAAAAACGATTGAGGAAAGATAACATTCTGATGCTCATCAATTTTTTAAGAATCTTTGAAAACTGGGACAGCAGCGAGATCGGTCTATAGTTGCCGTGGCCTCGTTTATCACCTTTTTATAAACAGGAATGAATATAAGGAATGAATATAACCTATTTTAAATAGAGATGCACCGGATTCAGGTTTTTCAAATCCGGCCGGGGCCGGACTTGGCCGGATTTGAAATTCAAAAACCGACCGGAGCCGGGGCCGGATTTTAGTTACCATTTTACATACGTTAGAAAAAATACTCACATTTACGGTTATCTACATGTTGAACATCAAAAAATAACACCAAGCAAATAGTTATTTAATTCAAATATATGAATAAGTTGTGATACGCCAAATTCTGTACTCAAAGATCAGCTTATAATTTATGCATATTTGCATAACCCAAGTTAAAGCACAAAGAAAATTGTCCAGCTCACCGCACAATTAATGATGTTGTAATTATGTGTCATGTATACCTAGCCTAACCTTTAACATACCATGTTCTTAAATTATGTGCTTATGTATCTCTCTCTCTCTCTCTCTCTAAATTTATATATATATAGATATATATCTTTATATATATATATATATATATATATATATATATATATATTATGTAGCTATATGATCCGTCATGTGCAATTATCAATATATAGTATATACACGTGCACAAGTTCTTTTACACAAAGATCAGCTTATAATTTATGCATAATCCATGTTATAGCATAAAGAAAATTGTCCAGATCACCTCACAATTAGTGATGTTGTTATTATGTGTCATGTATGCCTTTAGCTTAGCTTTAGCCATTAACTTATTGACATAAAATTAATTGAATTCAATAAAATTTTTTTTTCTATTTCTAACATTTTTAAAAGTTGATAGACGCTTAAATCCGGCCCTAAATCCGGCCACCAAATTTGAAAAAAAAGGCGGATTTTGGCCGGAGCCGGGGCCGAACTTCGGTGCATCCCTAATTTTAAACTGATTGAAAATTGTCTCTTTTTTGCGAAAAATTGCCTACATGCATTAATGGAACAATGATTTGATAACCTGAGGAATAAATAAACATTTGAACTCAAAAATGCTTAAATTCTAGAACTTGATATAATTTTATAATAAATTCTCTCTTAATTATTTTTCAAAGGGATCAACACATTACTTACATTGCGCTTGCGTGTGAAATAAGCTGGGGTCTCTATGCATTCGAACCAAGTCACTGCAACAGTAGGAGTAGGCATCTTAACCATCACACCATTACCCCGCCCATGTCGATAGGGTCAAAATTTGCAGTACGAAGAAATTGAATGAATTTGATAAACTACGCATGATATTTGAGAAACAATCACGTCTCCTATGTCCGATCTTATTATTTGATAATAATAAAAATAACTTTTTTATTAACAAATTTTATTAATATCCTTTTTAAGTCGTCCAATTTAATAATAAATATTGTAACATGTAGAAATCTATTTATTAACATCTTCGTTATTAATATAACCTAATTATTAATATTTACAGAATTAATACATAGCAAAATCATCACAAACCTTCGGCTGGCCGTTCGTCAAATCTAAAAAATAATGATAAAATAAATATCAAAATTTTTTCAGAATCATTGTAATTCATTAAAACGACAAATGGATCGGTGAGTTTAATTTTGTTACGCTGACGCTGCTGTTACATAACTTGATGTGGTGTAGTGATTCTAAATGAGAATTTTTTTACTTAATTTGCTACTGTTGCGCTAAATCACGTTATCCGAAAAAAATTTTTTGGTAAAAAATTAATAAAAATAGCGAGTTTATTTGATAAACGCAATTACAACCGCAATTACAACACAGACACACACACAGACACAAACACACAGAAAGCCACACAAAGTTTTTATATAAATATACAATTACAGTAGTGTATCTGGAATAAAATACACTTATACGTATGTGTTTGTGTGTGCGTACATGCACACAGTATGTTCACTTGGTACATTAGCAGCTGTTGAATTAATTAAGATGTATTGATATAAGGATGTACGATGTATTTAATGAATCAACTACTAAATTTATGGATTGGTTAATGAATATGTTATCTGATGTTTGAATAGATGAGTTGTTACATAACATTAATGATGTATTGAATGTAAAAGTTAACGTAAAATGTAAAACGAACAAAGTAAAACAATTAGGCTGTACAAAACTCAAAACAAAATAAAATATTTCTGGACGAACTTTGTGGTTTATCTGTTGGACACTCAATGATTTCATACGCACAATCATCGTCAGCGGTGGCGTCTTTGTAGAGGGAAAAGAGTTTGATGTCTTTATCAGTGTAGAATTGTTTGGTGTCGACATCAGCCACCAAGAGTTTCGTCTCTTTCAAGTTGCTCTTGATCAAGTCCACCACCTCACCATGGGACAGACCTGAAGTTGATCGCAGTTTGAAGAATTGTTGGATGGTGTTGGATTGCATTTTATTAAACATCTTTGACGTAATTACGACGAAACGAAACAAAATACAAAAAAATGCCGATAATTATCTTTTTATTTATCTTTGTTTTTTTAAATTCCCACATTAGTTTACAGTTCTCACCTTCCACATCATTCCCGTTGACCGCCACAATTATGTCACCTTTCTTCAACCCTCCATGCATTGCTGGGGAATTGTTATCAACCTGAGGTAAAAATCTTGAGAGGTCAAAAATTTGCCACTAAGAATATATTAATTTTGGTGAACGGAGTAAAGTTGACCATAGACCCCATGAATGAAACAAAGCGGTATAAATATCAACTTACCAAAACATTTGATATAATTAAAACTTGAAAGTCGAAAGATAGTACAAGTGTTTCAAACAAAAAATTTGTCTCAATGTCAAGTTTAAAAATTTAATTAAAAATTTTGAGCATGGCTTTCATAAAACACTTTTTAAAGAATTACTAATGCTTCCATATCAGCATACGTTTTCAATGTATTGTCCAGGTTTCCCCTTATGTGAGAGCATGTTGAAACCGAAGCCCTTTCCATCACCCCAGGATTTCACGATGCACAGACGCAGTTTTGGTCTAATCTCTTTTATAATTTCGTTTTTAGCACCAACATCATCCTTTTCTTCCTTCTCCTCCTTTTCCTCCTTGTCTTCGTTGTGGATAATAATGGCATCGAATGCAGCCATAGCTTCAATGGCCTCGGCTGTGGTTGGCGTGGTCGCTAGAGCTGCGTTTAATGTGGTAAGATGATTAGTTGAGTATTGTGGTGGTTTGTAGTTGTGATTGATGTAGCTGTACTGCTGATTTCAATAATTGGGTGTTTTGTTATGCATAAAAATATAGTTTGCTTGTTTTTTCAATATAATTTTACTTGCACACAAATTAATGTGTGTAACGAATGTAACGAATGGAACGAATGGAATATAATTAATATATATAATGATAAGATTATTTATGCTGATAATTAAAGCCTCATCGTCATCGTCACTGCTTCCATCGCCACAGTCACCGGAAATTGGATTGGTAGCTGGACAGGATATTTCCTCGATGAATTGAAAGTTGCTGCTGATTTTATATCCATTGAGTTTGAAGAATTCTCTTGCTTTGTCATCCACCACCAACAACGTCACGTGATCGGAGTTCTCCTTCACGGCTTTCACGACGTCGCCGTGACTGTATTCCTGTGCAATGGAAAAATGTGCTTGAAATCGCGCCTACATTGCGTGTGTAAGTAGGTTAAAATTCTTCAAACTTGTACATACATACGTGCACGTTTACTCAAACAAATAGTTAAATAGAAAATGACAAATTTAAATGTTCTTTATATACAGCAAATAAACATCACCCCCATCACATACATATGAGCATTCAAACTAACCTCGACATTGACGCCATTGACTTCAATCAATTTGTCCTCTTCTCTGAGGCCGGCCAGTTGGGCGGGTGACCCCTCATCAATGTGGCCCACGTAATGCAACTGACTGTCTTTGTCCACGTGCAAGTTAAAACCGTACCCTAGTTGCATATTTCAATTCTTGGTTAGTTTAGATTTCGATGTTAAATGTTTTATGTAAAGAATGCTTAATGTATGGTTGTCTGTTCGAGTTGGGTCCGTCGAACAGGCAAAAATATGCATTGATTATTATTGCAATATTCCAATTAAATATTTTTTATCTTACAGCCCAAATGTCATGGAACAGAAACCAAAACTGGATAGTTTAATTTAGATTTTGTGATTTTGTGGCACTACCAGCAACAATAAGGCCTCATTAGCCGGTTTCATTATATTTTATTTTAATGAACATTTATTAAACAAAATCATTTAAGAAAAAGTGCATTGGTACTAAAAAAAAACACAAAAATAAACAATAAAATGAAGGATTGGATGGAGTTAATAACAATAATTATTTCTATAAAGTTTTGAATTTTTATCTTTATTACTAAATAAGTGCACGTTAATTAATACCACAACATCTACTTCAACCTGTGGTTCTAATAAAATATTTATCACTAAATAAGCAAAAAAATAAAAATAGGAATAATAATAATAACATCAATAATATTGAAAATAGTAATGGTAATAACGGTTGTAAAATAAAGCATTAAATTACGATGAAGTTGTGCCAACAATAACTTTTAGATAACAATGCAAATTTGATAATGGATTTTTTCTACTGGAACAAACCCGCCTCCGTATTGTCTTGTAAAGTTTTTTTTGAAAAAATACGTTGAAAATTTTTTTAAATTTATTTATTTTTGAGAATGATGAAAAATAAAAATTGAAATAGTGCGAATGACGAAATGATTATTAAATTATCAAAAAATCTATTCGAAATAACAAATATAGATGAACAAGTGGGTGAACAAGAGGGTGAGCCAACAGAAGGTGAATGAATTAATCAATCTTTAATCTTTTATATCGTAAATTTCTATTATTCAAATTTTAATTATTTAAATTTTTTTCAATTAATTAATTTTTTATTAAAAATTGTAATATTAAATTATGATTGTAAAGGTACCAACCGGCAAAATCTGGCCAGATCCTGAGATGGCAGAGTCTGGCTTTGGAGGGAGGATCATTTACTGGAATCTGCTCTTCTGGTTGTTTGATTGAATGGTTAGTTGGTTGAATGGTTGGTTGGTTGGTTGATTGAATGGTTGATTGAATGGCTGGTTGGTGGATTGTTTAATTGAATGGTTGGTGGATTCTTTAATTGAATAGTTGGTTGATTAAATGGTTAGATGTTTGATTGATTGGTTGGTTGGTTAATTGATTATTTGGTTGGTTTGTCGATTGATTAATTTGTTTGGATTGTTGGTTGGTTGATTGACTTGAAAAAATAACAAAAGAATAATTGGTACATTAAAAAACAAATTTACTGAGTGATATTTTAATTACCATGCATTCAGATATAAACCATAAAAATTATCCACAAAGTTTTACATTTTTGCATTTTTCATCAATATTGCAAAAAAAACATTAGAATTTACAGAAATGACATTGAACATACCTTCCATTGTTACCGAACAATTATTAAGTTTACAATGAATAAATATAAAAAGCTAAAATAACAATTGAACTATCACTATGTATCGTTGCAAATCGATTAACAATAATATTATTAGTGAAAATTTTATAAAAAAAAATAGCTGTTATAAATTTTAAGTTAAATATATTTACGACGACAATAACAGTCTGGTGACATGGAAAAAATAAACTTCGATTAATGACATCAACAAATAACTGCTGATATGTTAAGCAATGAGATGTTGGCGCACATAGGTTAACGCAACATTTGAAGCGATTTCAGACAGCGCCGAACGTTATGACGACAACGACGACGATGACGACCGTGATGTTTGATGATGACGATGATGATGATTCTACGTATGATGAAATTGCAAACTGAATATTCAATGAGTTACCGCGTTTATTTTAATAGGGTATATGAGAGTGTATGCCGTACAATACGCACGTTTCCATGTATTGTGTGTATTTATCCAGATGTGAGCATGTAGGTAGGTATGCTTATGCTAAAGTATCTGTGTGGATATTAATTAATAATAACAACTTTAAACATGTTCATACGATTGAAGTTTGAGTGTATGGTTCATATTAAAATGTGTGTTATGTTTGTTTTTGGGAGTGTGTTGGCGTGTGAGTTGGTGTGTAGTGTATGATTTGGTGTGTGTGTGTGTGTGTATGTTTGTTCAAGAAGTTGGTATATTGAGACATTTGCATTTTGTCATTGATTTGAATATATATTCAACAACTTGATTTCAAGTGCTGCTGTTAAGAATAAGTTAAGATTGTTGAGTTGATGCATGCGTATGTACGTTTGCTATTGATACATTACATCCAACCAACAAGCAGTAGTAAGTTAAGTTGCTCTGTTACTAAAACTACCACTTTTGAAAATTCATTTCATGTCATTTAAATTTCCATTAAACAGAGATTCATCATGTTTTCTGTCTCAGCCCGGTAATTGTATTTGTGTCAAAATATAGAATCAGGGTTTCAAATGTGATAGAGGTGAGATAGGCAGTAAGTTATATCGGAAGATGTGATGTTGATAGCATTGACATCCTTAAAATTCCCAATGTAGTTCGCAGTTACTTATTCAAAAAAAACGTTGATATGCAAACAGCAGCTGAATGATGAAATATATATTAGCGTGATGAATTAGCTGAATTAGCGTAGAGAATGGCTGTAAAATATCCAAAACACACATGTAAATAAACTCAAATGAATCAATATAAAAATTGGATAAAAATATTATTTAGAATATTTAAGCGCTTAATGTGCATAATTGAACAACAACCGAACAGTGCACTAGAATTAATTCGCCACGTTGGTGAGGACAGAATATTTTCAAGTGAAGAAGAGTAGCGTGAACAGGAATGAATAAGCTTGCGTACGTTGTTTTGCTGTACTGCTGTATACATGAGTTTTTGTATTTGGTTGAGCACTACATGTATGTACCTACAGTAGAGTTTTTAGTTATATACAATTTTTGCATCGTGATTAATCTTTCGTCATTAATTTTCTTTTTAAAGATTTGCAGCATGCAAGCAAACAATCAAATCCTCCATTATTCTCGACTCCTCCGTATGAGAGAGCATTAATAACCTGAGAAGCTACCGTTGATTTAATAATGATGATATTTTTGTTTGACCTGCCGAAATGAAAACCCATCAGCAATTAACATTTGAAATGTGCCTCGGCTGCCTATAAGATATATTTTATGTTTTCAAGAAACATCTCATCTCTTTAAATATCGGCTGTGAGCAAATGCATTGAAATTTTATTAAATGTGCAATAATTTAGTACTCCAGTAAGTTTTTAAATGTGAGTATATGTGTATGTATGTGTGTGTTTGTGTGTGTGTTTGTGTATGTGTGCAAGAGCGTTAGTGTTTCAAGAGTAAATATTTTTCAAATTTAAAAAAAAACTAGCGTAGCTCTGTGTAAGCATGTTTAAAGCACGCACACTCGAAATTACTTTTATCGTTGTTACTCGTATAACGTAAAATATTTTAAATTGAGAAATAATTTCTCCTACTTGTACACATTTCTTTTTAAAACTTAATTTTCACAATTTTTATTTTAATTTAAAAATTCTTTGTGCGCGAATTTCAAATTCGCATTTAATTTATGCAATAGTTGGTTTATCTAGTTCAACATCATACTATTA